GGGAATACATGCATGATGCGATTACTGTTGCAGATCAATTCTACATAGAAATCTAAACTCAAGCGGATATTCATCACAATGAACTGTAATCATAAGTGCATCATTCTAGACTGTGCTGCACATGTTATGCGTAATATTGCATTTCTAATATGCACTCAAATAATAATGTGCTTCACACATGACACAAACCAGACAAAATTATTCATTACGAGTTCAAACACATACATGACATTATTCAGTTAACTTGATTCTTATTCTTATAAATCAAGTTTTTTTTCAAAGAAGAGGAGGATGCTTTCACTCACTTCATTTCAACATTTTATATAAACAAGTGAAGTACGACACGCAATGAAGTCAATTTTTCAAGAAATTGGCTTCAAGAAGGCGATTTTTTGCCAGGTGAGGCTTTTCCCTACAGATTTGTCTCTCTCTCTCTCTAGATTTTTTTTCAGAAAGACTAACTTCGACGAAAGACAAATGCCTTTCTAGTGAATAGTGAAGTATTTTCAACAGTTGGTTTGTAAGGATTAGATTTGTTCTCTCGAGTTTGACCACGGATTGATATCAGTTAGAGAACTATTGAAAATCAGCACTGCAGTACTGGACAGCTAGCTGTTTCATCCTAGTTTGGGAATCATCGGCAGTACGCACCCACTGCACTGTAGTTCGAACCCAGGACCTTCCGGTTACAAGGCAAGCTCATCGACTATTCAGCCACTGGGAGGGTGGTCAAACTCGTAAAAACAAATGGTGAAGTACGCGAAATCTAGTTCAAGAGCCGCTTGCTGACTGCCTTTAACTGCCTCCCACCTATTCTTAGTATACCATGACAGTGAGTTATACAGTTTGGCGACCTTACTGGCTGTCAAATATCACCGATGATATTCCTGACTGTGGTGGACTTGATCATGCGGCAAATGATGGACAGTGAGAACACAGGAATACATTGGACTGATAAGAAGACCCTAATTTCTTATGTTCCGCAAAGTCGGAAATCTACAGGCGAAAACCAATAAGCTGGAAGAAGAGGTTGGCAGCAAAAAGACAGGAATTCAAGTGAAAATAGAGGGAGGAGAGGGAGAGAGAGGTGATGAGGATGTCTAGCCAACAATAAAAAGAATCAATCACCATCAACAAGAGGAATCTAAAGCATGTCACCTCTATCACTTAACTGATCTGGGCAACATCATTTCAACGACAGGTTCGGGAAGGCAAGGTGAACCTTCATCGCTTTGAAATGAGTTTGGAAATCTGTTTCGATCAGCATAAGGAACAAGATTCAGACTTTTAACACAGTCCTTCTACACGCTTCACAGAATTGATGATCACTTCATGGAAAGCATTTTGAATAGGCTTCAGACTTTTATCAATAGCTGCTTTCGTTCCATGGTCAAGATTAGGTGGAGGGCCAGAAGGCATTGGCGACAAGAAACTCCAGGAATGAACTAATCTTAAAAACCCTATCTAATAGATAAACTGGAGATGTACCGGTTACATTCTGAAGAGACCGTCGAGTGGTATCGCGCATTAGACACTCAAGTGGAACCTGAATGAGAAACGACAGGTTAAGTAGGCATGCATCTAATGGTTACATAGAGGAGATCATGTGAAGGGGAGATGAGAGCTTATGGATAGTTGTGAAGCTAACTAAGGAGGACTTCAGAGGACATCATGAAATGGAGATGTCCTGTTGAAGACGTATGTTCAACTATGAACCAAATGACAATATTAGCATAATAATACTGCATAGTTGGGAAGCCAGACGTCTCAATGTTAATGTTTCAGACTTCAGCACTGGGTGATATAGATATTGGGCATTTTCCCATCGAGGTTTTGAATACAACTAGCTGACAATCTGTCAATTTACTTCGACCGACAAGTCGTACATAAACAGAAAGTTCATCACGATGATAAGTCGCCTAGCTTGGTCGGCCACATTACAAACTTGACTAATAGAGTTGATCTATCACAGACACCAGGAACTAGGCAGTGAATACTGCTCACTCCTAAGTAATGATTTGATAAATTTGCCTAACTATACGATTTTCAATACAAACGTCAAGTCAGTTCTTCTATACGGATCAGAAACTTGGCGGGTCACAAAGAATATTTCCAACAGCCTGTTGCAGACCTTTATTAACAACTGTCTTTGCTCTATACTGAAGATCAGATGGCCGGAAAGAATCACCAACAAGAAACTATGGGAACAAACAAAACAAGAACCAATCGCTCAACAAATATGCAGGAGAAAGTGTAGATGGATTGGACACTCGCTGAGGAGGCCACTGGGTGACATCGCGCGTCAGGCCAGTGCTCGAGTGGAACCCGAAAGGGAAGCGACGAGTGGGACGTCAGTGCAAGGCTGACATGGAGGAGATCGTGTGAAGAGGAGTTGAAACAGTTTGGACTAACATAGATGCAGTTGAAAAGTACAGCAGAAGACAGAAGCAAGTGGAGACGTGTAGTTGAAGCCCTGTTTTCCACTAGGAACCCAAGGGAACAATAATAATAATAACTATACGATTATCCTATTCCCATCTCCTCTCAAATTAATCATGTGCTAACCAGAATTAGACAACTACGTGATGGATTTAAAGTTGTTAAGACACTACAGGCGTCAAATTGATATAAGGGTCAGGTTTCATCACCAGTGGACATCAGCAGCAGAAGTACCAAGAAATGAAAGATCTGCACCACAGGTTCAAGGCATTTGGACCCTATTAAACCTATTTCAGACTGCGTAACTAGACAGTATCACCGTATTGGTATTTAATATCTGCAACTAACACACAATTGAATGAAACATCTATTCTGGCTTAACAAATTCTAAATAACATAAAGAATCTATAAAAATTGTCCATAGTGCGCATTACTATGAGGCGTAGAGTGCCAGGTATGTAAGGGAAGGCAATCGATAAAGCTGTCAAACTTCATCGATTGACACGATTAGAACATGTGTTGTGCACGCCAAGCTAACGTCTTCCTTATCAAACAGTGCTAGCTGACAAGAAGGTGGGAGGGTTTAGGCTGGAAAAGAATCAGTGGCGGTCACTTGACAAGGTCTTAGACATTTGTGTTGAGCCATATTAGGAGCGGTAGACGTTTTGGTTGAGGTTCTCGGAATTCATAGAGCCAATGACTGGTGACCATTGGTGATATGAGTCGGGATCATTCTCATTGTCGTAGAGGTGCATTCACTCCTCTTTGTAATTTCCTATGTGCATGAAACCAACATGTTTTCCCATGCTACCATTCTCTCTCAGCCAGATTTCTTCTCACTACAGTCGTTTGAATCCCTCTTTTCTCCACCTTTGTGTGTGTGGTGCTATATAGAGGGTGACAACTTGAACTGATGTTGCACTTTTATGCAAAGTCTTATTATGCTGAAATTCAGATTCAGTCATTACTACTGTAGTGACAGCTGGCTGCAAGCTAAAATTGCAGACAACAGTTTACGTCAATGTTTACGTCCCGAATCAGGGTCAAAAGGAAAACAATGACAAAGCTTAACCTTGAGAAAATCATCAGCCAATCACAGTGAAGTTAAAGTGTGGAAATATGATTCACAGATATATGGCTTGATTTTCTGAAGAAACGGCCACAAAGAGATAACAGAATAACCTTCAGCAAGAAAACAACCAACCGGAAGAGGTTGCTTCTCCGCTAACAATAACGCTGATAATAATGTACATAAAAATCTATAAGTACCTCTTGATTTTCTCAATAAACAATCGAATGCCTAGCCCTTGTCTTTTTCCGTTATATTATGAGTGTTTTCAGCCGAGGATAATATATGCTGGTTAAGCTACCATTTCCTGGATTTAGCGGTCTTAATGCTCACATTAAAACCTGAGAGTTCTTGTCTAAAGAAATTGAATATTCATGGATAACAGATGCTGAGAAGTTCCCCAGTTCCAAAGTAAACCAGGTGTTCAAAAGTGATATATATATGTCCTAATTTACATTGTATTCATAATTTTTTGTTGTGTTTGATTCGACTTTAAACACTTTTTGATGAAATTTTGTGGATACCCATTCTTTTTGAAGACCGTTTGTAGGTACTTTTCTTCCATTCTTTTCAACTCTGGAGTGCTACAATGTGTCTGAACTCTTTTAAACAATGTCTGCACACAGTTTCGTTTGTGAGTAACTGGATTATTGCTAGTATAGTTGAGTATTTGATCTGTGTGCATTGATTTTCTATGAACTTTGTCTCTAACTAAACCAGGTGTTCGTTGCCATCCTATTTTCAATGATTTTAGAAATGTCCTTGGTTTCTGATAGGGCTCATTTCAAAATAAAATAAACAACTGATTGAACAAGCAGATGTGTGGTTGTGTACGTGTATGAACGGATTGTTTAATGTACCTTTCACGAATACACCATATATCTTCTTGGAAGTGTTGATTTGCAGGTATTTGAATAGCTACTGGCTTATTCATGAGCAAAAGTTAGTTGGAGAACCATTGGAAAACTATCAGGGAGAATTGAACAGCCTGCTTCGTTTCTAGCTCGAGACTCTTCATCAGTGGTACGTACACACCGGGGTTAGAACTCAGAACCTTCCGACTACAAGACGAGCTCGTAGACAATTCAGCCTTGGCTAACCTGATGCGGTGACACACGAATTCCAACTTCTGCCAACTGGTGGTATATAACACAACCACCAGCCAATGACATCCGCGAGTAATTGTTATCTTACCTGACTGACTAAGGAGATTCCGCTAGTCACAATTACTCACTGGAGCTATAGGTGACTTCCTGTAAAGAGCCATTCACTAATGAGCGTCGGAGGTGACGGTTTGCGGGAATTTGATTGGCTAGAGTTTCAATCACGGGCTGACATATTTCTTGACATTAAACTATGCATTTGAATGGCATTTTAAAATAGGATGGTTTAAAGATTTCAGAGATAAAAGAAAATCAAGCTGATCATGACCGTAAGTTGTATAATAACAAAAAGAATACACAAGCACACACATACACACACACTGTCTCACCTGATTTCCAAAAACCCCGAAAGACGTGGCTGTGGAAACTTCATTCTCTCCAAACCATATCGCGGCTAAATGTGCTGGTATCCCCAGAATGCCTGATTGAGCAATCCCACAAATAGTCTGTCCAATCATAAGTATTGGAAAACCAAGTTTATGATCCCATGGAAGAGTTTCATTAGCTAAGCTTGGTCGTGGTTCATAAGTCACTGCACCAGCGATACACTTAGCCCATGCACCGACTGCATTCAATGCTGTAGCGACCAGCATGGTCACTCTTAGACCCCATTTATCAAGTATCCATGTCGATGGAAAGATTAGTGGGATATACGTGAGCATATAGATCATTGACAACCAGTCAACAGCAATTTGATGGACATCCTCTGTTGAACCTGAATAGATAGAAATATAAATAGCCATAATGATAGTGGGGCGTAATAAACAAATACAAATATAGATTTACAAAATAGCATCTTGTCATAATAAAGCTGTAGGCTGCTCAGTGTTACTGAGCTGTCTGTCAGATGGATGGCTTAATTGTGAAGGTTTCCTTGTCCTTTCGGACACCATGTTCAGTGCTAACTTAAAGTATGATGTGTAATTTAGGAATTATCCATGGATGAAATGTATTTTACTTGTTCACTTGGTGATCTTCGCTGTGATTGGTTGTTCCTGTGGACTGCCTTCTGATTAGTCCTCTTGTTGAACTGATATTTGACCATTCAGTCATGTGACTTATTCTTTATTGATTAATAAGCCTGATCTATATATAAACATGCCCACAAATTGTCAATTGATTTGATTGCCAAACCTCTAGAAATTCTCTAGAGTTCTTTATATTTCCCCTGTCTATAGTTGTTACATTATTCCAGAGAAATTTTAAATTTCAACGTGAATTGATATGGACGATCAAAAGGTCAGATATCCGGTCAAGGAAGCGATCAATAATAGCATTATGAGTAAAAACATATAATTTTAAGGAAATTGATGAGGACAACCAATGGCAGTGAAATTTCCCAGATGAAACAAATATTTCAGCCATGAAGGATTCCAGTAGATCACATTACATTTTTCAGAGGCACAATGAAAGCATCTCTCACAAATCATTCAGCGTGGAAACTATTACAGTACCAAACTTGAAAGCCACAAATATTTCTCCACGACTTCGAAACGACAGGTCTTCCTTAGTACAAAGGAGGTGATTGTCTAAGCATTGATAAATGTCATCGAAGCTGATAAGTATTTCATCAGCAAATTCAGTTTAATCATGAATAATCTAAAAAGCTGTGAAATATGATGCCTAAACGGTTATTAATGATTTCTGTCAGCGCTGAAGTCAGTGTCATTTCGTGATCAAACCTGAATATGATTTGCCTCTTTCGGATGGAATTAAATTCGTCAAATGTGCTGATGATCTATCTGACTGTCTCGTTGCCAGTTACTTACTGATCTGACTGTTGTAAACTAAAACGCTTTTTGTCGGACACAAACCAGTGGTCTAAGCTAAGCGGCTTTATGTTTTATCCCTCTAAACGTCAGACAATTAACTTAACCTTCAAGCATCGATGTGATCTTGTCTACTTCTAGGAAAATATACCGTTTAACCTACTATATCAGGAATCACTCAAACTCTACTTTTACAATTTTTTTAATTCTTCCTTTTTACCTTTTGTCCTTTACTGCTCCACTCCCCCCCCCACTCAACCACTTAGTCTTTCCTGGGCTACTCAATCAAGACTATATCATAATGCGGAGAGTATTAAATGTTATCAGTAGGGTAAGTGATGTGCCACTAAATCTGATCGTTACTATTGTAGTTGACAGACACATGGACTTATGTGAGAAATGGTCTAAATCCATATTATCCCACTTTCAACACACACTCTGTCCACAACTCTCCCCACCTTGCACCTCATCAGGTAGGACTGGAAGTCATTAGAAAAGATTATATGTTCGTGAAATCTAGTATTCGGTATGGCCTCGTTCTATGTTATATTTTCAGGAGCTGTTGATGAGTGAATTACATGTAATATTATACGAAATGCTGAGGCTTCCACACTGTCTCATAAGAACTGTCTTGTTATAAAGCATATCATTATTAATAAATCCCTACAAACCAACAGTTAAAAATTGATTTATTGATCACTAGCGACAGAATATAAGATTAAGTCGACTTAACTCCTAGTGGCAAGTCGTGACCAGTGAGGTTCAGCACGTTGGATGAGAGGACATTTACTCGTCGATGACATTGACCGGTGATCACGCTATATATTTCAAACTGATCTTGTTACCTGGTGGTCTCGGACTCAACACTTGCTTAATGGGGGCTTCATGTGTGCATAATGCTGGAGAGTCCCAAACTAGGATGAAACAGTTGTCTAATACTCCCTATCTTTCGATGGTTCTCTAATTGATATCAATCGGTGATCACCCTAAATCGTGAATTAGGTTGGCTGGTAAATTTCTTGACAGTATTGACCAGTGCTTCTGTGAAAAGGTTCTATGTTACTTCATCAGTCACTCCGTTAAATAACATGCACCGTTTTACTTCAGTTCAAGTAAAACCACAATTCATAATGGTGCTAAAATGGTCATGTAATGAGGTCTACGAAGCAGAAGATAAGAATTAATAATAGTAGGTATGAGTGATAATTGTTATTGATTTTTATTCTGAGTGGAACATAAGGGGGCTTCAAGCTTGGTTATGAGAATTCAGTAGCAGTGGTGTTTTTTAATAGGTAGGCTTGATAGCCTCATGCACGACCGGCCAGGAATCGAACTCCGGACCAGATGAATAAATGTTGTGAATTATTTTTTATCACTCCATTTGAAGTCTGTAAACAGATTCTCTGCAGCCATTTAGATGATCTCACAAATTTAAACGTTTTCAATAATGTGGTCTGTTTAGCTAGAGAAGCGTACCAAAATATTCAAATCTGTGATACTATACAGCTTCATTGATTAATATCGATTAGTTTAATAGTACTGAGTCAGCTTTTTAATTTGAAATTTTGCACAGTTTTCTGTTGAAAGACAAAGAGCGGTTAAATTTATTGCATTGATTGGTCATGTGGGAGTAAATATTCTCATTTTTTTCAGTCCTTATTGAAGGGGCATAGACTCACTTCTATCAGTGTTAATGTTTGCAAAGTGGTTGAGTGCAAGCTAGATGCCTTTCCCCCTGCCAAGCGATTGCTATAAAAATCCTTTACGTCTAGGTCTTCGTACAGATTGCCTGAAACCATTTGAAATCAATTCAAAATGCTTGGCGATGGCGATTCACGTGCCTAGATGTAACTTATAGAGTTCGGTCAGCAATGACACACGCACACACATGTCAATGATTAGTTTTTTGTGACCAATGAACGACATCAATACAGTCTCAAAGGAGTTCGGTCGTCAGCCCGAATAGCTAAGTCGTAACCTCTGTGACTGCAGCACCGGGTGATGAAGTTTAGAATCCCCAAGGAGACGACATCAGTTCGTCCGAGAATTCAGGTACACATGGCTGACAAGTAGTGAACTAGCACGAAACTTAAGGCCACAGTTTCCTACCAATCCTTTCTTGTCTGTCTGTCTGTTTTCGACATAGAACGTTGCACATATGTGCGGCAGTTCAAGTCGCCACACTCCATGTAGCACACAAAGCAAGAGAAGAAAGTAGGAGAAATGCATAATATAGACAGTAAACAGAGGTGTGAGACAAAGGAATAGTAATAACGGAAATCATAAGTCACAAGGAGTGGATGCATCTGCGCCACTGAGAACGATTTTGAGCCATGTCACCAATTGTTTCCAACCATTGGTTTTTACCGTCCCGAGGACCCCAACCAGGAAGTCTACACCTTCCTACGTGGCTTAGACTAACTGTTGTAGATTTCATTGACTGGTGCCATGTTTTGGTTTGACCGCCACCATATATCAGCTAACATTGCCCGTCGAGGAAGGCGATGACTGGGCATACGTAACACATGTCCTAACCATCTCAGTCAATGTATTTCACAGCCTCGTCGATTGATTTCCCCTCCTTACCTAGCACTCGACGCCTAACCTCAGTATTGCTCACCTTATTATACCACTTCACACCGGAGATAGAACGCAGACACTTATGATCAAAGACAGCTGGTCTTCCACTCTCAATGGCCAGGTCTCACAGCCATAAAGCAGGACAGAGCGGACTGATGAGCAGTACACACGCCCTTTGGTCGATAGTCGGATATCACGTCTACGCCAGAGACGGCGTAAACTGGCATATGCGAAACTAGCCCTTTGTATTCGTGCTGAGATTTCGTCAGAGATCAACCCGTTGGGGCTGATGGTACTTCCCAAGTAAGTGAAGCGGTCAACGTGCTCTACCACTTCACTTCCTATTTCTAATCTAGGAGTCGGTGTAGTCCAATCCTCTCCAATCCAATCGGTCGGGACCAATCCTTTCCAACCATCTAACATGAAATTTTGGGCACAGATAATTATATAAACACTGAAATGTTGTATTTTTCGGTGGTACTGATTGTTTCTTGATTTCAAAGTTCCCTAAACCGGCATTATTTAGAACTACTGTACGATTTTGTATGTCTCACTTCAAGACCCGTCCTTAAATTTGCACAAAAGTGATGTCACTATGAAATGTTACCGAAGTGTACCCATATATGTATTTTGTTTTATAGTATTTGCTGTCGCAGAGTAATCGGTTAGCGAGTGTTAGTTGCGTAATCTGAAAGTTATGAGTTCAAGTCTTAGTTGGTCAGTTAGCCAGGAAAAGAAAGACGATTTGGTGCGAGGCTAGCAGTAGAAACCCAGTCAGTCTTCACAAATTACACCATCATCAAGGAAACTATGAAACTTCAAGGCCTATATTCCACTCGGAGTTTAAGCAATGGAGAAGAACAATTTAATGAACTTCCAGTATGCAAGGAATAGACGGGTGTAAAAGTGTCAGCTTGCAGCATCCACTCCCATGTCTTAACTTTTCACTAAGATGAGGTTCTTGTAAAGAAAGAGAATAGTTGTTACTAAATTCTCATCTATCACACAATTAGGATAATACTGAACAAAGTATATGGATTATACCGATGGTTTTATCGATAACTAACCGGTAGACTGTATAGTGCGACAGACAGCGAGCCGGGAACGAGGAACCACACAAAAAAACATTGAGGATCTGAATTTCGCCTATGATATATGTCTGATTTCCCACAAACTGGAAGATATGCAAGTGAAAAGAAACCAGCTGGCAGAAGAAGTATCAAAGATAGGACCGACTTCAGGTGAACATAGAGAATGCAGAGGTAGGTAATGAAGATTCCTGGCCAACAGCAGCAGCAACAACAACAGACAACAATCATCATAAATGGGAGAAATCTGAGAGAAGCAACCTCCTTTACCTACCTAC